CTCACATCAATAACCTCACCAGGTCTGCACACTTCCACCTCTGTAATATTAATCGTCTTCCTTCATCCCTCACTCACTGCTCACTTCCCTCCTCTTTGGTCTCCAGTTAGTCCAGAACCTCATCCAGCGATCTCATCAGTCCAGTTCTCCAGCAGCTACACCTGCTCCCGTTCAGCTCCCACATCGATTTTCAGATTCTGCCTCTGACCATCAAATCCATCCGTAACCTCGCCCTCCGTACCTCTCAGCTCCTCTTCCTCTCTCTTCCTCACCGCCTGTTTGACCGCCATGAGCTCTGTCTACAAACCCATCTTTTCAAACGTCTTCAGTCTTATTCAGACTTATTTATTCGTCTTTCTTGTTTTAACCTTCTCTCTTCGACCTTGAGAGCTTTAAAAAGGCGCCTATAAATTAGATGCATTACTCTTATTGTTATGATTATTGTTATTGTCTGTTTCCAGTGACATTCCTGACTCTTAAAGTCTGTGCACATCCACATTTACAGCTCAGGTTGTTTGTGAAGTTGAATCAGGACGAGGATCCTCTTAATCGGACGGATATATCATATAAAGAGACACTAAAGTTCGCTCTGACCCTGCTGTAAGGTTTATTTTAGACCCATAGAGCGGGTTTCCCATCAGGCAGCGTGTACAGGCTCTAAAAGTGATGCATTGGCAATCAACACGTGAAATCCTGTTCATTAAAACGAAAAAAACAAAGTCCTCAGAGTCTATAAAGCTGACTTATACACAGCTCGGTGAATGCCCTTGTGAGTTTGGAGAAGAACGCCACTCGACAGCGTTTGAAACGGCGTCTGATTTGATTGAGCTGAAAGGAACGACTCCACTACATAACCGCCCCGTACTGTTTCGACAGCCCTCAGAGCGGCGCTCACTTTTAATCAAGAACAATGGAGCAGCAGAAGAGCAATCACGTCATTAGGTACTTATCGATAATAAAGCCAACGCTCGCCGAGGCTCATAACACACGGGCTGCTGCGAGGAGCCCGAAGCTTTGTTAAGACGCCGTTTTTATTCCCAACCTTAAAAGTCGACGTGCGATCGTGATGCACCTGAACCGTTAACGGGACTGTTTCAGGAAACGAGAGCTGCCCTGATGAATGAATGAATGAATGAAACTCTGTCCCAGATGTTGTAAACAGACAGAACACAGGGTTACATCTGTGTGAAGAGAGAAACGGCATTTATTCTTTATCAGACCTTCACTGAAAATGAGGGGAAGGAGCTGATGCAGCAGCTGCTGCTGCAGGGTCGCCGTTCTGCTGAAAATCTGTCATAGAGAGTTTTATTTAGGCTCAAAAACCTGCAGAGAGAAGTTTGAGAGAGCGGAGGAGTAAATCTGAACAGAAGAAGAGGTTTTTACAAGAACGGCTGAAGGTTTTAGAAATTATTTTCATTCAGTTTAAAGCAGTTTGTTGAAGAAAAGATCGATCAACCTCAAAATTCAAAGACCCACTCCAATGAAAATCTTGTTTTTCTTTTTGTCTACATGTCCATTCTTCATTTTTCTGATGCTACATGAGAAAAATAAGTGCAAAGATTGAGTATTTCTTCATTCCAATCTCTGTGAATCTCTGGCGGACCAACACTGTAGGTTCAGACACAGTGAGATTTCCTACATCACAAATCCAAGCTCCGCCCCCAGAAGAAGTAGAAGTAGAGAGGACAATCGCAGAACAAGCGTTTGTGTTAGCGGATTGCAATTATGATATTAACTTTAATTATGTCCCTGAAGACATTCGTGTCAGAGAGAAGAATAGCTCCTATGTTACCTGCTACTTCTACTACACTGGCAATGTTAGACAGCGCTGTCTCCGCCCACGACTCAGAGGCTAATTACTAATGAGCTACTGGAGCTCTGCAGAAGAAAAGTCGTTAAAAATGACACAGGTAACGTGATTTTGGCTAAAACCTTCATATTTAACAATTTAAAGAAAACTGAAAACACTTTAAGTTGTAAGAAACGATCGGAGTGGGACTTCTAGGGTTTTTAAAAGCAGCTGGTTTAATCTTCATCTTTACGTTTCTTCTCCTTCAGTTTCCAGTCCAAGCTAACAGACATCAGACAGAATCAAAAACACTAAAAAACAAAGACATCTCACTTACACTTCCTCCTTCATCATGGGCGGCCATGCTTGTAAAAGGAGCATCAGCTGCTGGAAGTCCTCCCACTCTTCCGCAGCTTCCAGCAGCTCTTGGAAGAGGGCGTACCGTTTCCCCTCGTTCTCCACGTCTTCTATCTGGAGCTGCGAGAAAAAAAACAGAGAGGTGAGGAAGATTAAAAAAAGCCCTGCAGTGAAGACGTTGATTGTAAGATCTCTCGAGGTCACTGAGCAGAATAATTCAGGTAAAAGAAAGAGAGGAACCGTGGATTTCATCAGAATCCTTCTCCTCCTCCTGCGATGTTGTGAATAAATACGATGACAGATGCCAGAATCGTGGACTGAGCGCTGGATTGCAGCAATCTGTTTTGTGGTGTACTTCAGCAGAACAAGGAGAGTTGCATTGGAGTTTAGGATGAATCACACTCTCTCCGTTGTAATAGCAAAACTTGACAATGTAATGATTGCAGTTGAGTTTGTGGGTAAGGCGTTTCTGCCAAAACAAGGCTGCAGATAAAGTGAGCAATCACAAACGCTCAATCTGGACCGGTATCAACGCCTCCAGACTCCAAACAAAAGGGTTTTATGAGTAATGACACATTTCACTAAAAGAGGCACATCACCTGTGGCAAAACTTCGAAAGTGTCGTGACGGGGGAGAGAAACGGGGAAGAGGGAGTGAAAGAAAAGAGAGAGGAGAGGAACGAGGGAGGGTTAATGTGGAAAAAATGAGGGGAGGCGAAGGCAGAGGCGGAGGGAAAGTAATTAATTTTCTTCTCAAAGGTTGGCTTCTAGTGTGATTTTACAGTTCAGAGAGCGGCTGATTTCTGAGGGGAAAACTACGACCTGCCAAGGCAAGGCTGCGGCAGAGACAGGCCTGTCTTACACACACACACACACACACACACACACAGAAACACACAAACGTATATATCACTTACAGCCAGGCTCATAAAACACAGTTTCAGCCTTGGTGGTGTGATCAGATTTATATGACTGGATATCCATGTAAAGCCCCGAGATATTTCATGAGTATAAAGCTCTGTATACACTCTAATTTATATTTGAGACACTGGAGAGAGAGTGAGTGTGTGTGTGTGTGAGTGTGAAGACACCTGTAGATCCAAACCTTTGTTTCCTGTCATGAAGCTTTTTTAACGAACATGTTTTTCTTCTACTAAAGACTCACCTGTGCTGGAAAATTCAGGTGTTTACGTGCCAAAATAAGGAGTAAAGTCGAGTTTATGTATTTAAGTATAAAACAGAAGGAAAGTTCACTTGAATCTTTGAGCGAACGCTGTTTAATTTTGGCCCAAAAACGCATTAAAAGTGGCGTTCATATTTGATCAGTTTCAGAGCCCATCAGCAGTCGGTGTCTGCTGTCGTCTGACAATGATCGATGATTCGCCTCTGGGAACAGATGCCAACTTCTCAGTGATGCTGGTGGAGCCAGCAGTTGGTGTTTAATGACTTCAAGTCAAGACTTTCGTCTTTGTGTCTGTTGTGGACGCCGACGCCATCGTTTCTGGGTTTGGTTTGCTCTCTGGTGTGGCGCCCGTCCATCTGTGAGTTTTGGTTCAACAACGTCTCAAAGTTTTTTACTTTCGGTTTTCCTCAGTGGTGTGAAACAAACAAAAGAGTGTGGAGTTTGATGAAACAGCATCACGATGGAGATGTGAGGATGAAGAATCATGAGAGATTCAGAGACGGCGATGATACGATTTTACTGATATACAGAAAAAAACAGGCCGACCTAAACTTGATGACACGTTTCTGCGCTGAGAGACTCTGAACACCACCGATCTTTCTATTGTAGAAGTTCAAACGTAGCTGCTGTCACCGACTAAAGTTGGTATAACTAGAGAAGGAAGCGGTCACCAACATTCATCTCTGGAGGGGGGGTCTGACTCGGTGTTATGGTGTGTTTGACCCTAAATTAATTTTACGTCGGAATATCCCTTTAAAAGTAGAGTTGGTTATCACAGACTTTAGATTGGGAGGTCTTTGCACAGCAGAGAAAAAGAAGGTAACGTTAGCATCAGGATGACCACATAACTAACAATATTGCTAAAGACTTGATCAAGATTAAAAATCGCTCTGAAACAACAAACCCTCAACGTACCTTTCCAACAGAAAATGAGCGACTATGCCGTCACTTTTAAAGCCCTCGACCTCTTTCACTTCTCTCCATCGCTGAAAAAAAGCTGTCCCGAGGTTGACTTTCGTTTTCACCCTTCCTTTCTCTAAACTCTGTCTCACTTCGTCCTTCTCTGCCTCCATCTTTCTTTTCTCGCTCTTTTGGCTATGTGCATCGAATCAGGGCTGGTGACACGTATGCGCAGGAGGTGAACACGGGATTTGATTGGTTTAAAACACACGATGCGCTTGGTTGGTGCTGTAGATAGCGTCTATGTTTCACTCTTTTAAGAACACATCATGTATTGATCGCGATTAGAACATAAAGATCATTTTAACCAGAATAACAAAAAAGTGGATCTAAATCAGATTACCAACCTGACCTTTAAACGACCTCGACTTCACTGTCCATGTGAGCGGCTTCAGTGTTCCTCTTGTGTGTGTAGACAGACATGCTGTTTCATCCACACAATAACTTCCTTTCCCTGACTGAAGTGTTTATTTGACATCACATCAGACTGATTTACGCAGCAGTCACGCTTTATTAAAACGCTCCAATATCATCGTATTAAAGTAACGATAAACTGTAGAATCAGCTGCACCTAAATCAGCTCTGATGGAGAGGAGGGGGACCAGACACAACTGCCAAAACAAATAAAAACCTGAGCCTGTCTGCTGCACAACTTTCTGATCTTGGATTGAACAGATGGGGAGGCTGCTCGGGATCTTTGAAAGCCTAATTGATAGAAGAAGGAGGAGAAAGAGGAGGAGAAGGAGGAGGAGGAGGAGGCATATACATAATATAGATAAAAAAAAAGGCTTGAAAAGAGATTTAATGATGTAAACAGATGGACAGAGAGGAACACACACAGTGAGAGACCGTGTCCTGGATTGTGTTGTTGTCAGCACCTCTCTGTGTTTAAGTGTTTATGTTTTTGGCTGCCGCTCTCCTCCTCCTCCTCCTCCTCCTTCTCACCTCCTCCAATTCTTCTTCTTCCTGCCCTCCTGCCCTCTCTTGCTCTCTGCTCTCTGTTCAACACCACAGAGGGAATGTTGATTTTAATCACCGGGCGTAATTAATTACCACCCTCCCTTGTTAAGAAAATAAAAGCCTCACAGCCACATAGTAATTGGCAGCGATATAATTTGTGGTCGACTGTAGGCGAGTGCTGACGAGTGTGCGCTCGTCTTTGTGTGTGTGTGGGTGAGGAGGATGTTGTGCACGTGTGTGTAAAAGGAGTTTGTGGTTCAAAGAATGATCCGGCCTCGCTGCAGACCCTTAAAATCTGAAATATTCTGAGTGAACGACGTGGTGATCATCGAACTTCACAAAGAGCTTGAATAGCTGGAGGGTGTTCAGTATTCATGATGGCGATGAACGGGCTTTGGTTGCAGTTTACTTTGGCTGATGGATTCGAGAGCTTAAGATTGCATTGAAAGCTTTTTTTTTAACAGGTAGTTAAGATTCCATTTCTGTTTCCAGGTGACCTCCATTTCCTGAGGGTCCTGAGCTTCAGCTTCACTCGTTTATCGCTCCACCCTAACCCATGAAGCGCTTCAATACACCGCTAAACACGAATCTGCGGCGCTGACGATTATTAGCATGAGCTGCTGCTAATAAATGAGATGTTTACCTGCAGAATCAACAGAACTGTCAGAGTTTTTAGTACTGAACCGTGGACGCAGCTGAGTGTTCGTCATTCAGATCTGCTGCTGGCTATAGTAGTACCGTATTCTGTGTGATAGAGGCACAAGTGGAATTGAGTTAGATTAATGCAGGTTCCTGGTGAATGCTGCTCAACGGTTCCCTTGTCAATGCAGGGTTCCTACGCAAGTATGGAAATAAATTTGATCAGTTTCCACGTCTTAAAAAGGATGGAAAATAAAAAATAAAGCATGGAAAAATATTCATGTTTCTAGACTATAACCACAGTTTTAAAATACTGTTCTCTGAAATAGAAAAGTAGGTATTTCTTAAGTTTGGGGTATGGAAAAGTTTGGAAATTCCAATTGTGTGGGAATCTGTCAATGCCTCGTGCAGAACAGATGTCACACTTCACGAGAAGCTTTCAGTGCAAACACATGAGAGTTCAGGAGGTAGGAGCGGTTCAAAGCTGGGGTTAATTTCATGCAAATCGATGCTAAAAGCTCAAAGGTTAATGTCTGTGGCTGTGGAAATATAAGCAATTAGGGCTGCACGATTTTGGACAAAAATAAAATCCTGATTTTTTTTCTCTGAAAACTCAATTTTCTTTTTTTCATTCAGTGAGAACTTCACCAAACTTCACTTTCATAAAAAAGTTTTTCTATCATCTCTCAAAACGAAAACACACTGAAAACGATGTAGTGCATATGCCAAGCCAGTAAGTGGCGCTGCTCAGAACAGCACCTAACTTCATCAACAGGACATATAGGGTCACAGACATAGTACTAGACACCAAACATCTTTTTAACTTTGACTCATTTCTTTAGCAAAGAGACTAAACACAACTCACCTACTCTCTTCCAGCAGACGCTTGTTTAAACGAGACCTCAGGCCAGTCCATTATGGACTACAGCGGGGTGACACAGCTCAAGGAAGAACATTTATGATCATTTCTTGATAGAAATACAATCAGACCGAGACGCTAAGACAGAAGAACTACAGCGTCTGCAGTGAACAATTATTAATATGGTGATTATTACTTCAAGGAAATGATAAAGAAATAATCATAAATGTTCTTCCTTGAGCTGCGGCACCCCGCTGTAGTCCGTAATGGTCTGGCCTGAGGTCTCTCTACAAACAAGCGGCTGATATTTGATTTCTTGCTGATATCGGCCCGATATCCAATAACAATATCGGATATTGGGACAGCCCTTTGATCAACTCCTACCAGGGGCTTTAACCACGTCAGATAATAGCAGATGAGTTCTGGACCAGACCACATCCATGTGTGTCTGGGTTTGGTCCAGCTAAGACTAAAGCTTGAACCAAACAGTAAGACAGATAAGATGGGGTTTATAAACAGTATTTCAGATGCAGGTACAAGTGCAGAAGCTAATGTGCACACTCACTCGCTCTCTCAGCCCCTCATCTGAGCCGGCTGGACCCCTGATACTGCGGGTCAATAATAAACACAACACCCTGTGAGTGGTATTCTTTTGGACAGAGACGACGCACGCACTGAGACATGAGAGCTGCTCTCTCGTTCGCTCTCTCCGCCTGCGACTTCAAACCTCCTCTTCTGTTTTTTTATTTTTTTTACCGCTGGCACAGGAAACACAGTAAATTATGCCGACCACATGCAACACGCTCACCCACTGTGACCAGAAGTAGCCCTGCTTTTAGAGAAACGATACAGCGAGATACTGGGAGCCGGAGGAAAGCACGAGAATGAAGGAAATGAAACATGACAACTGGTATTTTACCCGCAGCTACATTATTGCTCTCCGACAACCTTTAGACTTCGCAGGAAAAAGCCGAAACCAAAGCGGATGCGGTGACTTGTGTTTACATGCGTGTAAAGTGATACCGTAAATGTTTATCGCTGTTTCCCGACGACAGAGATCCGTTCATGAGGGGTGTTATGAAATTTGATGACCCTTTATTGCATTAGGAGGATTACAGAGTGATCACGGCTGTTTTACTGCGCTGACACTGACCTTTCCTTTCCCCGGGACGTTCACAAACACTTTCTTTACTACTGTGCGGCTGAGGATCCAGATTCGAGGACTGAGTCAATGTCATCGCTTTGAGAGTTTGATAAAGCGGCGCTGTAACAAAGTCGTGTCCACATCACTGTAGGACAAACAGCAATTATAGAGGAGGATGTAGTTTGTCCAAAAGAGCTTGTGTAGTCAGAGCGGGTATCTCTCTCCGCTGATTAAAAACTGCAATGCAGTCCAAACCCTGCTATCAGCATATGATAATAAAACAGGGGGGGAAGAGTGTGTGTGTGTGTGTGTGTGTGTGTGTGTGTGTGTGTGTGTGAGAGAGAGAGAGAGACAGAGAGAGATGGGAGCTGCTCTGGGGCAAATCGATAGGCAGAGCACAAAACTGTCAAGAGACACGTGGGTGAAAACACACACACACACACACACACACACACACACACACACACACACACACACACACACACACAGTTCACTAAAGGATAAAAATGGAGATTAGGTATTAAAGACTGCAGCAGTGTGTGTGTGTATATGTGTGTGAAAGAGAGAGGACGAGACAGATGAACGGACTCATCTGTTCCTTGAGACTTTCTTTCACACACACACACACACACACACACACACGGAGCAAGACATAATAAGGCCCATGCAAACAGACAGGCAGGTGTGCACACAATCAAAAACAATCAGCCGACTGCCACAGAAACAGCTTCAGTAAACTCCTGTGAAATCATCTCCTCCATATGTCGCCGTCTTTCCTGGAGGAATAAACTCTCCCTAAATAAATATTCAGACATCAAAGCGCTCCACTGTAGTCTTTTAAATTTGAGCCGCTTTCAACACGGCGCCGCTGACACTCGGAGGTAATACTGTAGATAATTTTAGACACGCGCAGGGCGAATGAAGAATAACCTGCAATACACTAAATCTTCTCAGGTAAACAGTGAGGAGTCATTTCAGCCTCTCTGCAGCCTTTAAGGCGGTGTTACTATTATGTCTGTATTATTGAGAATATGTCTTCACTTTATCTACAATTATTCTATCTAGATAATTCTGATATTTAAGCTGCCTCAGCTTTAAAAACGTACTTTAATATTGTTGTTATGGAGGTTTTAAAGCTATCGGACTATCTGACAACTCAGCACAAAACATAAGAGCACAGAGTCTGCATGTGGCGAGCATGAACAGAGATAACACCACGAGCTTTTAGTCTTTGTTGCAGGTTAAAGGTGAAGTAGACAAATCTTATTTTGTGGTTTATATACAAAAAAGCTTTTAATATCAGTCAATAGTTATTAGTTATTGATGACATTTGGGAATATCACGATATCGATGTCAACATTTGAACATTTTTGAGCGGTCCGCTCTTTCTGACTGTAAACAAAGCCGTTCTCCACCTCCTCTAACCTGACTGGTTGTGAGGCAGACGCTGCTCCCCCGTGTCGTTCAGGAGCCCAAACAAAGTTAGCGTGCTACAATATCGGACAGTAGAAACCAACCAGAAAGTTCGGAAAATTGTCTGAATCCTCCTTTGGCCACGACTGCCGACACAAGCAAGAAAACAAAGTAAATACCGGAGACTCTGGAGGAATAACGGGCGCTTAAAACGGAGGTAGACCGGACAAGAGCTCAAAAGCCGGGTCAACATAAACGATGGGGGACGCTTGGGGATCTTGGTGACCCTGTAACCTTTCTGCTGGACAGGTAAACCGCTTTAACAAAGTAAGACAAGTGTCTGTAACAGAAGTGTTTCTTGTCAAACGGACCTGCTGTAGCGTGTTGTAGCGCCATCGCTAAACTGTCCTCCCTCAGGTCCTGGACTATGTCACTTTATCCTCGTTGTAGAAGTCCTGCAAACATTGTGTTTGCTGGTAGTCTGTTGGCATCTACAGTAGCACCAATGCTTTTGACTTTCACCTTGACTGGGCCCCATTTGTAATGATCTGAAGGATTTATCTGCATTATATCTGAATTTAATTGATAAGAGCGATATGATTGACATTTCAGGCCCGCTGTAGATAGTATTAATCATATCTATTATTATTATTAGTTTAATATGTTTGTTTGGTCTCCCAGAGTAAACCTGGTGAAGGTTTGGTGAGTGTAACATCTCCGCTCTGGGAGGTAAATAAGGATCTTGTTAATTTGGCGTCACTGTGAGGTTAATGGCTCCAAACAACAGCCCCTCTGTGGCCACTGTTCCTCCATGTTTACCAGCTACATTTCAGATGATTACACTCACACTGTAAAAATTCTCATATGGAAATCTGTGACCCAGGATTCAGCCAACGTTGTATTTACAGCGAGTGGTCGCATCAGCGGGAACAAAAGGCGCA